TGCCTTAAGTTGGCCCTGTGTTTCGGGTATCCATTTTTCAAAGATAGACAGAAAATCAAGGATAACAGCAACAGTTGAAAATTTTTAAATCAGCCTCGTCTGAAACCTTCGCCTTCGGGTAACTGGGTTTCAGATGGCTTACAAAACTCGTCTTTTTAAAGAACACTGGTCTTTCAGCTGAAATCAAACTTCAGTAAGACCTGTTCTCCAAAGACATTAGTCCATGGACAATTCTGGGATATTGCCTTAACTGAGCCTTGTATCCCAGAAAGCCATTATTCGAAACATTGCCTTCAGTTGGCCCTGTGTTTCGGATATGCGTCTTCTTTAAGAACGCTGGTCTTTCAGCTGAAGTCAAACTTCAGTAAGACTTGTTCTAAAGAGGTTAGTCCCAGAAAGCTAATATCCCAAGCATTGCCTTCAGTTGGCCTTGTGTTTCGGATATCCAACTTTCAGACAGTCAATCTTCAGTAAGACTTGTATCCCAGAAGCATTGCCTTCAGTTGGCCCTGTGTTTTGGATACCCATTTTGAAGAAGTTCAGAAATTGCTTATTCAACTGAAGTCATACTTCAATTTCTGTGGGGGCAAGAAGCACTCAGTGCAACTATGTTCGGCAGAGTTGAAGAAAAGAAACAGTAAAGCATTCAAAAATAAAGCAACTGAAGAAAAGAGCATTAGATTAATATTTCATGCTCAAAAATTGAGCTACAAGTTCAATAATTCAGTATCGGCAGCCGCCCACAAGCGGAAAATAACAGCTGCCGAAATACGTACATAAGCAAAAAAATAAAACTGTTGTACGACAAGGCAAGCTGAAGCAAAAAACAAGGCAAAAAACTCAGAAAGCGGCAAGTCTAAAGTTAAGCACATGATGAACCGCAAGATTCTGAAGACGACTGCCCGAGTTCCTATGCTTCAGCCGGAGGATCAGACTGATCAGCGTTGAGCCCCATGGTGGCCTCAGCCCCAGCAGCAGAAGAAGCGGGCTTTGCACTTTGCCGAGCCTCCCTTTCCCTCTGCTCAGCTTCCAACTCCAGTCTTTCAGCTTCCTCTTCGGCTTCCTCAGCCTTAAGAATTTCAGCTTCGACTGGAGTTGCATACTTCATGTGAGGGTCTTCGGGGTTCTGGACCCACTCAGCACATTTAGACCAGTCCAGTTTCGGCTCAGCATGAAGGCAGACTCTTCGGCATACTCGGAATCCGTTTCTGAAACCCATCTCATATTCTTCTTGGGTATAAACACGGACTTTGAGTAAAGCCTCAGCATCAGCCAGCTTCTTCTGGGTCTCCTCCAAGTCTTCCTTGGATTTCTTCAGCTCATCAGCGACTTGGGAGGAGGAACCTTTCAGCTCATTCAGCTCTTGCTGAATTTGGAAAGCCTTTGTCTGAGCCTGGGCCACTTCAACTTTCTGGATCAGCAATTGATCCTCAGCCTCTTGGAATTTAGCTCTTTGAGCTTCAGCAGCAGCAGCAGCCTCTGAGAGTTGGACGTCTTTGGCCAGGAGCAACTCTTCAGCAGCCATTCGGCTGGCTTCAAGAGCCTCTAGACGCTGCTGCACTTCAGCTTGTGCAGCAGTTCCTTCTTGAATTCGGCTCTCAACGGCAGCCTTGAATTTGGAGACGTCCACTCCCATATGCTCCTGGAGGAATTTTTCCCCTTCCATCAGTGGGGGAAAAACTTCCTTCTCCATAGCATCGCAGAAGGTTTTCAGGGCTTCGGCAGCTTTTTTCCCGTACTCCTCAACCTCCTGCTGCTTCTCTTCAGCTGCTGCTTGCTTCAGCTTAGCAAGCTTAACTTCCTCTTCAGCCACCTTCTTTTCGTGCACAGCAGCGTCTACCCTATCTTGTAGGGTATCTATCAGCTCTACAGTGAGAGTCTGATTGTGCACGAACTGAAAACAGGAAGACAAAAAAAAAATAAAATAAAAAATATATATATATATATAAAGAGCTGAATTTCGGAGGAAATGAAGGAAAATTACCTGCATCATCAGCAGTTGGTTAGACCTGGCTGGGTCAGGAACTGATCTGCTGGATTCGCCCATCCCAGCAGTGGCCTTCAGCGACCAGATCCTTGCCCTGTCTACTTCGGACATGCCAGCAAAATTGCCGAAGTAGGCTGCAGCTCCTTCTCGGTTTTGACCCCATATGAGGTCCCAGATGTGATCTGGGATTGGAATTCGGGGGGCCGAGAAACCCATTTCTCCAGAATGCAGAGTCTGGAAAGAAGGGAAGGATGACGATGGAGCTTGATTAGCTTTGGTTGTCTCAGCATCATCCTTCTCAGAGGAGTCAATTACTATGACCTCCTCTTCTTCAGGGGTAAGGACGAAAGCCTCAACCTCTCTTGCGATGTCTGCCGTGAAGCCCTCAGCGCTGGACATCACGGCATCCTTATTTTCGTGCTCATCAGCACTCTTCTTCATTTCTTCTTGGACCCCTCCCTTAGGTTCGGGAGTTCTCTGATCCACCTCCATCTCAGGAGGTGGCGGAGGGGTCTTTTGAGGAGATTGGGGTGTTGGCTGGGGAACCCTCGGCGATCCATTGCCTTCCTCAGGTTCCCTTATTGCGACGCCGATGGTCATCGGCCTCTGCTGAAAGTCATGAGGGCCGATGATGGCCATCCTTCGGCGCCTTTTCAGAAGGGGCTGCTCGTCCATATCTGAGTCTGAAGACTCTTGTATTTGGTCTTCGGGACGAACAGGAGCTTTGCCTTCTCTGTGTCTGTTACTCTCTTCAGACTGTAACAGACAGGGGGGAAGAAGAATGTGAGTAAAAAAAAAAAAAAAAAAAAAAAAAAAAAAAGTTGTCTGAAAGCTCACCGAGGTTTTCAGCAAAGCCTCGTCTTCTTCAGCTGCTCTAGCTGCAGCTTCGGCTTCAGCAGCCTTGGAGGACCCTTCTCCTCCTTCGCAAGCCTCAAGTACCCGTGCAACCTCTTCGGCTGTGCGGGCAGCTTCAGCTTCTTCGTTCAGCAGCTGAAACCAAGGGTCTCTCTTCTTCCACCAAGGCTTCTGCCTCTGATACAGAGCAACAGCCTCAATTTGGAAGTGGGAAGAATCCAGATGAACTTCCCTATGCCTCGGCTCGGTGATAGACGGGGCCCGTTCAGTTACAACTCGCTCTCGGTTAACACCAAGACGAGCGTAGTTAATACCAACGTTGGTCTCGTCCCGCTCTGAAAAAAGGAAAGGGAAAAAGTTTAGCTCAGATATGTCGGCACAGCATAAAAAAAGCAAAGCGAGAGAAGAAAAAGAGGTAGTTAAAAAGCCTCGGCCCCAGCCGAAGAAGCTTACCATCCTTAAACTTTCGGCTGAGGCCAACAGCTGCTAGCATGTTCTCTTGGAAAACGTAATGCGTATCGGGGAGCCAAGTCTCCGGGATATGCTGCATTCGACCGCTTCCCCCCGGGTTCGGCAGCTTGCCGAAGATATGTTGCTGATCCAGGTTCGGATCCGCCCCGTTATCTGCGGGGGGACCTAGACTTCCCATTTCGGGATCAGGCTCAGCTAAGTACCGGGGAGCGCTGAAGACGCAAGGGTGGCCCGGATCTGTGGGTGCCCTAACCCAAATCCATTGACCTCTCCAATCCTTGTCTGAAGAGTCATTTGGCCACATGGTCAAGTATTGGGGCCGGGACTCAATCCGATACCACCCAGAACCATGGCTTCCGTGCCCACTTTGAATATTTGGCACTAGCCGATGGAGCTTTCTGAAGCAGTGCAGGTTCGGCACGTACTTGAAGAACTTGCAGACCCATAAGTATGTCATCACCCTTCGGATGCTGGTGGGGGTTAGCTGACATAGGGAAATGTTGTAATGGATCAGCAAGTCTCGGACGAAAACGTCCAAAGGGAACCTCAGCCCATACTGAAGTTGTCTCGTGTACACCCCCACATACCCCGGGGGTGGACGATGGATTCTATCGGATGCTGAGGGCATTCGGCACCAATATCCATCAGCTTCAAAAATGCCGTAATGCAACTCAATTTGCTCGGCAAATCGATATTGATCGGCGTTCTCTACCCACCATGAGTAGGGGCGGTTCTTTATCATGGCCGAAACGACTTCGGCATTCTCCCACTCTGAAAACCCAGGGAGGATATCCCAAAGGACAGCGGGAACTTCATCATCCCGTCCAGAAGCGCTCGGCTCATCCGTTCTTTGAGGAGGAGCCGAGGAAAGGGGAGTCGCCCTAATCCCTTCAGCAGGGTCAGACTCAGGCCTTTGACCATTCCAGGTCCCAATCCTGTTCCTAGGATCGGGAATCGGCCTTGCTCTTCTTGGAGCACGGGCTCTACCTCTAACTCCTCTTGCCATGGATTATTTCGAAGAGAAAAGTCGAAAGAAAAGGGGAAGGAGTTCGAATTCGAAGAAAAATAAACTGAAATCAAAGGAATTTACCTTAATCTGAAGCGAAAGTTGCCGATTTACGAGTTCGTAGTGGCAAGTCTCAGTTTCTAAGCTCAATGCTCGGGGAATTTGCGAAGTTTTGATGCGGGTTCTTGGTTTCTCTCTCGAAGAATTCTGGGTTTGTGTCGGTGAATAAGTGAGGAGAATGACGCGCCTCTGTTTATATCTCCAGGTACGGGATACGAAGAGTCTGTGCTTTAATTTCTCTTAAATACCCGCTAAGTAACCATTAAACACATGATCTTGTGATTAAACTGCCCATTATCCGTCCAACTTCCGCAAATCATTAACCGTTGTTATCTCATTAATTACGGTTTAAATTCAAATTTTTGGATCAATTAAATCATTTACTTCCCTCCTTTTCTGAGTTAAATCAAACCCGACCCGTCATCCTTCCAAATCGGGTCTGGGGGGCAAGTTGTTTGGGTCCAATTTAGCCAAAATTGGGCCTGAGCACTAAATGATCCAATTAAAAGCCCAAGGTCAAGGTTCAACTCTCCAATTGCTCAAAAGTCAAAGGTCAGCCCACAAAGTAAGCCAATTGGGCTAAAGCCCAACCTCTCCATGTATGATGAGGTATAAAAGCCATCATATTGACACATTCACGAGGACATTACAATTCCAGTTCATATGCTCATTCTTGCATTGAGAAATATTACACAAAAGCCTCAAGCTACAAACTCTCTTGCATAGTGTCTTCCTTTTACACATTGTACTGACTTTAGCATCGGAGGGGCCTTCCTCGGAAACACCCCCGAGGCTAGTTTACGTGTGTTCACTGTGCAGGAAACCTTCGGCCCAACACAACTTGGATCGAATCCAGTCTTCTCCATTTCAACGGACCTTCGGCAAGGTCCCATTGTTTTCAACCGAAACACTAGTATTGAGTTTGGCAAATGAAAATAACTTGGTCCAAGATTCAGGTATGCCATACTCTTTCATCACCCACAGATGGGTGTCGCCCCATGACTCATTAACAACAAGACACAAGCTCCCATCAAGTACGCCCACAAACATTCGACCAATTCCAATCGAAACTAAATTAGGAACCGGCAGAGTACTAAAACATTCTTCCCTTAAATTGAAGGTAACAATACTAACATTACGCAGTGGCTCATTAATAAAGCCATACCAATGGATAGCACCATTAAGAAAGACGCTATCCGTATTATAGCAACCAAGAAAACGAAGATTGTAAGGAACATTAGGAGTAGCCGCCTTTCTCCATGAATCATCCTTCAAGCTATAAACCATAACATCGCTCTCAATAGAGTTCGTCATTGTACTGGTATTCCGATTAATCCTCACACATCTATAGTCCCGAGTGATGCTTTCATAACCGAAAGCAACATTGGACAACTGTAAAGTGTAGGGCGCGCTTATTGGCATATTAGGCAACCATGGGAGTGATTTGTAGGTTTAAGTGGTTGGGTTGTAAATCAACAAGGGCAGGTCAGAAATCTCGAGACAAAGCAACCCATTACATGATCCAACCACACTAACACCGCCTTGATCAAGGCTCTTAAACGGGTAATTAAGCGGATTCGAGTTATCAAATTTGTTGAAATCACTCAAATAAAGAGTTGAGGATTTAAAAATCAAGTGACGATTAGTTTTGGTGGCAAGTGATCGTTTTAAATGAAGGTCGACAAAATCAGAGCTGTTAATCAAATTATACCATGACTTGCACACAATCTTGAATCGTAACAGAGATTTTGCAGGCAATCGTAACAGAATTACAACAAGTAAATCTACAGGAAAAGGCATTATCGTATATAGCAATTTAAGTTAGGGTTTATGAGAAATTAATTAATCGTGAAATTTAAACAAATCTAGGGTTAAGATGATTTAGAGTAACATATAAATTGGAATTAAGAGAAACTAAGAGGGAAAGAGATTAGCAGAAAATCTGTAATACGGAGTATAGAATTAAAGGAAGATTTGGATGACAATTTAAGAGAGAGAAGAATTCTACCATGAATTGAAGAGAGAAAGTTGTTGGAGCCGAATAACGCTTCACTCCCCTTCATTCTTGAATCTTGATTGATTTACCCACTTCCAGAAAATTAGACTTGATCAAAGTGCGGGCCGAGCTATGTTTGAGCCAGGCCGAAGCCAAAAAAAATCATTTTTCATGGAAATTATATGTCCAAATCCGTCAAAAATGATCGGGTTGTGCGGTCTTTTCGGACCATTTATGACCATTCAAAACAATAAACAAAAATTGCATAAAAACACATTTTTAAGCCCGTCTAAAAAAAATCGGGCGAAAATAATCCAACAAGTTGGATGCCGGTGTAGCTAAAATAGTTATACTACGTCTTATAAAATGAACATTTAGTAAAAAAAAATAAAAAAGAATTTAGGAACACATAAAAAAGTGAAAATTTAGTACGTAGTAATAAAATTGAACATGTAAGAAAATGAATATTTAGTAATAAACGGTGAATACGTTAAAAATATAAACTAAGTATGTTAAAAATGACAATTATCATACAATTATAAAATAAATGGACCATACCTAGTAAAATGAACATTTCAAAAAAAAATATATGAACACATTAAATAAAATGAACACGTCAAAAAAAAAATTATGCATATTTAATATATAAAATATGAACATGATTTTCATACATTCATATAGGTTCAATTTCATTGTATAAATTCAATATTGAAAAATAAATATAAAATAAATCGTTAACATATTTCAGGACCAATTTTTGGTCGATATCAGGTCGAGTCAATTCTGGTCTGGTCGTTTCGGGTCGTGTCAAGTTTGTTTCAGGTCACTAATATAAATTCAATTTAAAAAAATAGTTGGTAAAATACTTAACCATTTCACCCTATTCACTTCAGAAATCGAGTCACTTCGGGTCGGGTCAGTTGAGGTCGGGTCACTTTAGGTCGGATCAGGTCGGTTCGGGTCAAACAGTTCGAATTAAAATCGGGTCGGTCACATCGAGTTTCGAGTCACTTTGGATCGGGTCAAGTTTGAGTATCAGGTTAATCTCAAGTCAGTACGGGGTTGGGTCAAGTTTCTAGTCATTCGGGTCGGGTCAGGATTGCCAAGTCTACTTACAACTGCTTCAGGGCCGCCGTGAATTGCTTCAAGCTCCAACCGCATATTTTTAACATGCCCTTGACGACATAAATATAGTTGGGGTGGTTGACATTCTAAACGCATCTCCTGCCACTCTTGCCAACGTTGCCGTTCCAGGAAATGTATCCTTGCCTTTGTACTGGGATGATAATGGCAAGTGAACGTGATTTCCGAATTGAACCATTTGATTAAGATAGGACATCAGCGAAAGTGGTTTGGACTACCCGACTGGTGATGTCTTTTAATGAGCACTTGTAAATATTTTGATAAAAGTGTTGTAGACTTGTAGTAACCCAAAAGCAATCCTTGAAGTAGAGGGTGGGGTGTATACAAGGTGTAAGATTTAGTTGTTAGATGCCAACTTCTTTGTTGATCTATCAAAATATGGCCGATTGTAACAAAATACGTTCTCACAATTGCTTAAAAGAAAATTTGATACAGCAGAATCTCTTTCATAAATCAGGCTTCACTATAACACATTCAAAATTAAAGCAGAGTTTCACAATGAAAATAAATATTTATATATATAGGGACAAAGATAATAGCAAAGGCTAAAACAAGCTTAATACTACACAAACATGGGAAAAAGATCAAATGATCTTCATCTCATCTTTCTTTTTCGATCCCCTCTTCTCATGTGATGTTCCTCTTCAACCAAAAATGGTTAGCATTCCTATCCTCATAGCATAAGAAGGTTCTCTACACAAACATGAGCATCTGTGCATCGAGTAGCAACCTCCACAGGGCTAATTTCCATGGTATCCAAATCAATAGAAGCAACCTGCAAATAAGTAGTATGCACAAACAATTCCTTTAAGCTCATTGAATAACAAATAGGGCTCGCCACTTTCTCGTAGAAACTATTGAGCTTGGGAACAGAATATAACTTGGTCCAAGATTCAGGTGTGCCATACTCTTTCATAACCCACAAATGGGTGTCACCACTCAACTCACTAACAGCAAGACACAAGCTCTCATCAAGTACACCCACGAACATATGAACAATTTCCATGGAATCAAAATCAGGAATCAGCATAGTACTAAAACATTCATCCTTTAAATTGAAGACAACAATAGGCAATGCCTCATTAGCTTCATTCTCAGTGATACCGCCATCCCAATGGATAGCACCATTAAGAAAGACACTCTTTGTATAATAGTAATCAAGATTGTAATCAACACTAGGAGTAGCCGCCTTTCTCCATAAATCACCCTTCAAGCTATAAACCATAACATCACTCTCATACGAGCTGGTTTCCTCATTATAATTCCGAATAATCCTCACACACCTATAATCCCGAGTGATGCTTTCATAACCAAACCCGAAATTAAACACCGATCGAGTGTAACTAAATGGGGCACTTATAGGCAACAATGGGAGTGTTTTGTAGGTTTGAGTGGTTGGATTGTAAATCAAAAGGGGATGTTCAAAATCATAACTCTGCAAACAAAGCAAGCCATTACATGATCCAACCACACCAACACCGCCATTATCACAATTCTTAAACGGGTAATCAAGCGAAATCGGGTTATCAAATGTGTCGAAATCACCCAAATGAAGAATTGGGGTTTTATAAACAAAATGGAAATTAGTTTGGGAAGCAATTGATCGTTCAAAATGGAGGTCGACAAAATCAGAGCTGTTAATCAAATTATACCATAATTTGCACACAATCTTGAATCGTAACAGAGATTTTGCAGGCAATCGTAACAGAATATCAATGATTAATTCTACAGGAAAAGACATAATCATAAAAAGCAATTCAAATTAGGGTTTATGAGAAATGAATTAATCACAAAAATTAGACAAATATAAGGTTTAAATGATTTAAGCTAACATACAAATTCGAATAATCATATTAGAGGAAAATTAAAAAAGGGAAAGAGGATACCCGGAAGTCTGTAATTCAGGATCAAACGAATAATTAGATCATAATTTAGGAGAGAGAGAGCGCATCTATGAATTCTCCTCTTCATTGCGCTACAATTACAAAGATACTAAAATTAAAAAATACTCTGTATAAGTATATTTATTGTTTAATTTGTTAAACATGCGACAGTTTGGCCGAGTGGTCTAAGGCGCCAGATTTAGGCTCTGGTCCGAAAGGGCGTGGGTTCAAATCCCACAGCTGTCATTTTTTTCCCAAAGGCCCATTCTTTTTACTTATGGCAAATTTTTTTGGGTGAAATAATAAATCCCGCCATCACATTTGATCAAACCCCCATCATTTTAAGTAAAGAGACTTTCTTGCCCTTATTTATTTATTTTCCATTTTTTCAATAGCAACCACAACTAAGTCAACCACGACCAATCACGACACTGTTACGACCCACGCCACCACATCCCAAAACCACCGTGTCAACCACTACCTTCTACATCAAACAACCACGATGGCAAAAACACAAAAAAAAAATGAAAAATTAATGAATTTTAAGATTATAGATTGAAAATGGAAAGAAATTGAACTAATGAATGCTTACCTCAGTAGATAGATCGACAGGAGATCTAACTATGAAGTGCTTAATCAAAACAATACTCGTAAATAACTTTGTACTGGACCAATAGTAGGTTCCTTCTAGGATGTGTTTATTTTTTATTTTAAAAAAAAATCTCGTATGTCTATGAATTAGAACCTGTGTATACTCCACTAATGGTGGCTAGTAACCAGAGTTGAAAATCGCCCGCCCGCTGTCGGTAACCGCATGCCAAATTCGGTTGACCGCGACGGTCAATCAGTTATGACCGCCGGTTACCGTCGCAGTCAACTGGATTTCACTTCCGGTTACCGAGCGGGCAACCGGTTTTCAGCTCCGGTTACCAGGCACCGATTGTTAAAAAAAAAATAACGAAATCAAACTGGAAAATTTTCCTCATGTCCATCCATTTCGCCACCCCTTGACACCCACCTGATCGACCGCCTGACTCTGTGCCGCCACTAACAGCTACCGGTAACCTCTAATATTTTGTTGTGGTGGTTTGGGGTTTAGTAAGGGCAAGATTGACACATTGCTTGAAATGATGGCGGTTTTGATAAGTTTGAATGGCGGTATTTAACACCCCTTTTTTCCATATTTTGTCGTGTTTTACACACAAATTAATCTACTTATCCTTCTCTAAAACCTACTTATCTTTCAAAAAAAAAAATCTATTTATCCTTCTATAAAACCAATTGCTTACTTTCACTCTCTGAAAGCTAAGTTTCTCAATTTCTCTCTCCTCCGTTGTCACCGCCGTCGTTTCCGGCGGCAGGGGCGGACCTTTGAAATGGCCCAAATTTGTTTTCATTCAATGTCAAGTAAAAAGCCCAAAAGTTACCGTAAGCAGTTTGTATGAAGCTTTCAAGTTTACTAGGTGAGTATATGTCATTCACTCATACTAGAAGTATGACTTATTCACTTTATCTTTCTTGCACAAATCCCAAAGCAATGAAACACATGTGAATTTACTGGATCACTACTAGCTATTTGCACTACACAAATTACAAAATTACCCTTTTAGTTATCTCTTTTGGTTATTCGATTTATGGATTATTTTTATCCACAATTCCAACGCTGTAGGCGTCGCTCGAAGTGCACCTACGTTAAAGTATGTGTGAATATGCTTGACACTCATAGGAAGTGGGAATTGACATAATACGAATAGGGACAAATAAAGTAGGGAGCCGCCAACAAGTTTTTTAAGGAACTTGTAAACCGTTCACGGATCATAAAAAGGCAACCACGATAAGGGACAACGATAGGCAACAACGATTGACCCGTGAAGGTTACACCCCATTCATAATCCATGAGATTATTAACTCCATATGGTTCGGAACCACGAAAGGAGGATCGGGGATGATGGTACGACGAAGTGAGTCATGGAGTCACATTCGCCCGTATTGGCCTCTACTCGATTCTTATAGTGAAAAGTGATTCCTGCGATCTCAAAGGCATACGAACAAAATATTCAATTCGCTCCAAACTATTATTAAGCTAAATTGGTTGAATATTAATGCAACACATAATTCTAAAATATTGTGATCACTTGAATTAAACAACAAGATTAAAAAGGAACCTAAACCGGTCGTCCAAATTATCTTATTAGGCGTGATTTTCAATTACATATTCCCTTTAAACATGCAATATGGTGATCATAAAAATAATAGAATAACATCAATATTGGAAGCAATTTAACAATAATTCTAATAATACAAAATCATTAGAATAATAATAGAAATAAAAGAAACATAATTCTTACTTTGATTCTGTTTGTTTGCAACTACAAAATAATAAACAAGTTAGTAACTTCAAGGAAATAATAATAAAACAATAATTAAATTAAATTAAATAGAATTGATTAGGGGCCAAACCCTCAAACAGTTCTACCTTTCATGCCTTGGCTTAAGGAAAGAACCACGAGTAAAGTATGGACTCCTGGGAGTGCTTGAAGAAGGAATTTTGAAAGAATAAGGGTAGGCTAGTGTTTAGGCTAGAGCATAGAAGAGAGAAAAAACTAGAGAATTAATTGATGCCCCGTACATCAGAAATGAGGGGGTATTTATAGAGAAAATGTGCTGAGGGAACACACGGAACCCTAAAATGATAAAAACCCTAAAAAAGTATCCCGCGACACGGCAAAGTGTACCGTGACACGGGAAATCCCACCGTCAGACGGGAAAAATTCCCGTGACATGGTGCACATTTTGTGTGACGCGGGAAATATTTAGTGAACGGGGGAGAAAACGCGTTAAGGGTTTACGCGGAAAGGACACGGAAATTCTCGTGTCACAGCAGGTTTCCCGTGTCACGAGGAACCCCACCGTCAGACGGGAAAGTTTCTCGTTACACGGTGAATTGTTTCCGTGACGCGGGAATTTTCTGTCCGCTTTTCCGTCTAAATTCATTTTCAACCCTAATTTCGTTCAGCATTTTAAGTGTCGATTGATAATTTCGGGCCATTTTCTGATTTTATTATTATTTGGACTAAAATAAATAAAACGTTTGGGCCAAGATAAATAATAAAACAAAAATAAAAAAATGTTTGGGCTAAAATTAAATAATAATTTTGGGCTGAAATTAAAACTATGTTTTGACCAAACATCAAGACTGATCCATGGAATATTCAAAAATTGAATTTAATTAAATACGATTTTTTAAGCACTCTCGGGATTAAATACTGAACCCCACCAATAGTGGCGGTGAAAGATTGTTCATCATCGGGTTTGATTTTGGGGAGACATTTTTAGGTGTCTACAAACGCCTTGAATTATTATTTCTTCTTCAATTTTTATATTGTGTGTAGACTTGAGTCTTAGCTAATGAACTTAGATATTATTTTATTTTTATTTATTAGTCATAACAAACACGCGTAAGTAAATAGCACCTTTATCTACCCTTTAAAGTTATGAGTTATAGAAGTAATGTCAAAGGTTAATTATATCAATGATTATTTTATTTTAATGGTATTTTATAGTAATTAATAATATTAAGGTAATAATATACTTTTTTTAAAGAATGCTTTACTATATACTTCCTCCGTTTCTATTTAGTTCACTAGGTGAAAAAAGAAGATTGGCACCGCCCTAAGGCCACCGATTTTTAAAAACCGGTTGGGAAAAAAGGGGGGAAAACGGGCGGGATTTTGAGGGAAAAGTATTGCCACCGATTCAAACTGAACCGGTGGGGCAATTATTTATGCCACCGGTTTTGAACCGGTGGCTTTGTTTTTTTAAAAAAAAAAAACCGGCCTTTTTAATTTAGCCCACCCCTTTTATTCCTTCCTACTCCGTATATATAACCCCATTTACCAAACCCTAGCCTCTTTAGCTTCTCTCTCCTCCCTCCTCCATCCTCCTCATTCTTACTGATCTTCATTCTCTTCTCCCTCATTCTATCTTCCTTCTGATCTTCTTAATTATCTTCTTCGTTCTTATCTTCTCTCGTCCCTCATTTTATCTCGTTATGATCTTCTCTAGTCCCCTTCGCTCCACCTTCATTCTCCTCTTCCTCTCATTTCGCTCGCCCCCTCCCTCCTCTTCACCTCTTTCGACCACCGCCGCCGCCGCCATTCTATTGCCGCCAAAGGTTTTATGGTCAAAATCGACCATGAAAACTCTAGGTAATTTATAACCGAACTTCAACATACCGATTTTGACCTTTATAACCGAAATTCAACATAATTTCGGGGGTTTTTTGGTGAAATTCGAGGTAATTTCTCTCTTTTCTTACTTTTTTTTTGTTTTTTGTTGTTTTTGGTGGAATTCGTGGGTTGTGGTGGTGGTGGTTGTGGTTATGGTGGTGGGTGGGTTTAATTCGATTTAAATCGATTTTAGAATTTTCTAAGGTTTTTTTTCGATCTCCTTCTGGGTTTAATTCGATTTTAATTTTGGGTTTAATTCGATTTTAATTCTGGGTTTAATTGATTTATTTTGGGGTTTTCATCCTTTTCATATTAATTTTTTCGGATCTGGAGTTGTTGTTTTTTCGGATCTACAAGCGATTTTTTTTGGGTTTTCATCCTTTTCGTAGTAAATTTTTATGCGATTTTTATTAGGCGAATATTCTGGATTTTATTTTTGTAAAGCGATATTCTGGGTTTTGTTAGGCGAATCTTCTGGGTTTTATTACGCTTTTTTTTTGTGAGTTTATTAATTTCTGGGTTTTAATTGATGCAGGTGTTAATTGATGCAGCAAGATTCAAGACTTTGATTTTGGAATAATGTTTTTGATGTAATTTTTTTTTTTTTTTGTATTGTACCATAATAATTTAAAGTTAGAATTACATTATTGATTATAATTCATTGTAGTTTTTTAATTTTTTTTTTTGTATTGTACAGTAACTATTATTGTTGAATATAATGAAATATTGCGCTCCTATTATATTGACTGTGAATTGTGAGTTATTTGCCTGGTATTTTACACGGTTTTTTTAAAAATATTTTTATTATTATAATTGTAGCAAACAAAAAAAATAATAATAAAAAAAAAATCATGTATGTTATTGCCTATGTAATATCCAAAAAAAAAAAAAACAGGAAGCATTATTGCCACCGGTTAACCGGTGACAATTCTTGTTTTTGCCACCGGTTTTGAACCGGTGGCTTTTTAAAATATTATTGCCACCTGATTAGGGGATTTTGCTCCCACCAATCGGAATGCGCCACGTGGGCCAATCAGGTCCTGCCAAATGTCCCCCAGTTGGACCTCTCAGGGCTTGCCACGTGGCACACGCTTATTCGTCCACCCTGGACCTATTATGTCATGACACGTGGCATACTCCATGCCTAATGGAGAAGTCGGCCACCTAGGCCCAACTTCCGAGGGAAGCCCAATCAGCCCAAGGTTAACCTAAACCTAGGATTGGCACGTTTCCCGAGGTTATAAATACCTCCCTTAATCCTCATTAAGGGGGATTACGCAGATTACACACATTAAACACTCTCACCTAGAGAGACCCAATCACTTTAATTTCCGCATTAATTACTCCTTAATCAAGTACTAA